GGTGGGCGCCCTCGGGCCGACCCGCACCGCCCAGGGCTCCTGAAGGACGCAGAGGGAGGCGGGAGGGCGGCTGGGACCGGGAACCGGGAGAACTCTCCCCGCCGACTTCTTTATTATTAGCGACCACACTCTCTGCTCTTAGAACAACCTCTCGCCTTTGAACGAAGCCGGCCCCTGTTATTACCGGTGCTCCACCTCGCCAAGCACCAATTTGGACTTAAGGACAATACTTTTCCTTGGCAGCCATTTGAGCCGACCAGAGTTCGCTCGGGATGCTCTTTCCCCACCGCCTAGCAGCCGCGGAGGCCCGAGGTGCCCTGCAGACTTGCGCGATGGGAGTGGGGCCTGGTTCGGTGAGGATACAGATGGGGACCAAGAGCGACCAAGCAGCTCTGAGCGGCTGGGGAAGGAATCCAGGGGCATACAACCAGTGATTTTCAATCTCTGAAACCAGTGGTTCTCAACTTGTTCGGCCAAGAAACGCTCAGACGTGAAATCACGTTGCCGCTTAGTGGCAAAAACGCTGGGTCCACAGGTAACGTGTTGGATTCCAATCCAGCCTCCCGCATGTACTAGCTGGGTGGCCTCAGACAGTGACTCCACCTCTCTAGAAGCTCAGAGCCCCTGGCCTGCCATATGGAGGTGAGAACTACCCATCTTACCCTGTGCTGGTGAGGATCAGGAGATGAGCACCTGTTACTCGGCCCATGGTTGGGAAACTGAGAGCAGACTTTTTTTTTTTTTTTTAAGATTTTATTTTTAAGTAATCTCTACACCCAAGGTGGGGCTCGAACTTACAACCCTGAGATCAAGAGTCCCAAGCTCTGCCCCGACCAGGCACCCCAAGAATTGATTTTTAAGTAGATGCTCCCCTTTTCTTTCTCTGTGTTCCAAAGGTCTACACAAATATTTCCAACAAGATATGTTGAACTTTTGGAGTTCCAACTTTCATCTCAATCATTGCGTCCTTTCTCCCCAACTTTTCTTTCTCTCTTATTTAATACTACTGGCTTTTCTGAGTAACTCTGAACTAAAATGGGCCCCATTTTAGAAATATTGCACAATGATGCATCTCTCCAATACCTACCACCCCACCACCACCAGCCTCCACAAATTTATCATTCTCCTCCATGAAAGGGTGCAGCTGAAAACCCTTGCAGATAAACCTACAAGTCTACTTCCTTTGTTGGACACAGTTAACAATAAATTTAAACTGTCAAGACTGTTTTGGTCTGTCTTTTTTCAGTTACAAGTTCCCCCTACTCATTTGTTTTTTTTGTGTGTGTTTAAATATTTTGCTCTCACTGTTACCCGGTCTGAGAACTCTACTCCAGAGCCTCCTGGATATGTAACAATCAGGACAGCCAGCCACTTACTCCCAAAGCAGATTAATAGCCAGAGTGAGTTGGAGGGCTCAGAATTTCAAACAATGCCTCACAATTTAGTCTGCTATTTGGAAATGGTAAGTGAAATGCAGGTTAGCTTACAAGACCTTGCTCAGTAATCAGCTCAATTTTCCTTCCTGCCAACACTTAAATATTTTTCCAGTCAAATACAATGATCTAATCTTGACTGAATTCTTGGAGACGTCTCAAAAACAGAGTGACCACTTGTGAAAATGTGCTAATCAGGAGGAAGAACAACCTGCTGCTCTAAAGAAGGGAAAGAAGAGAAAGGGACAGCAGAAGAAAAAAAGACCACATGACAGTGAAACCTTTTAAGGTGAGTAAGCAGGAAATAGTTATAGGAACCCATTAGAAGCCACAATAGCAGAACTATATGGAACCAGGTTAACTAGACCACACTGCAAATATCTTTAACTTCATTAAGTTTGGGTGGTACCTGGAAAAGGTTTGAAAATGTCAGAATCTTCAAAAAAAAAAAAAAAGAAAAAAAGGAAAAAGGCACCACTGATCTCAAGGCAATGGAAACAAAACAGTCTGGATAAAGAGAAGCCAGCAGGGGGGGAAAAAAAGATAAAATACAACACAGTATTTTCTAGGCAGAACTAAATCTACTTCCGTTTCTCTTATGGTGAGGGAATAATTCTAAGACAAAGAATTCTCACTATTAACAAATTACTGTGACCTACTTAGGAATCAATTATCACAGGGGGTATTCTGAACCCTCTCTACGTAAGTGTTTGAATTACATAGAGGGTCAATCGAGGTTAAGCACACCTGATTCACCTCTCAGGAACATTTGAAGAACACTGATTTACAAAGTTCTGATCTCGGTGGGTGCCTATATAAATTTTCACCAAAAAGCCTGATCATGTGGACATTATTAGAGACCCTATACAGGTCGCTGTGTAGTTAGAGGCCAAGAATTCTACCAGGGCTTTTTGACAATTCTAATGCTGCTAGCAAATAATAAACATCTCATTCAGGACCTCTGATGTATAGATCTCTCTATCTACCTTATCTTTTTTACAGGAGATAGGTCTGGTATTTGTTAAATCGGGATTTTAGCATCCCACTACTTACTAGATGTGTGTGTGACCTTTGCAAGTTAACTTAAACTGAGCTTCTGTCTCCTCATTGGTCAAACAGGGACTTCGTGGGTTGTTCTAAGGCTGAATGAGGAAGCTGGAGGTGCACACTGGCTTTGGTGATAGCACAGAAAGCTGGAGAGCTCTAAAAAGATGGAAATAATGCTAGTTACTTCAAAGATTTGTAGTAGCACTTTGAAGATTAAAGAATATGGGTAAAATGCTTAGCACTTAAGGGCACCAATATTATTCCTCTTCCTTTCCTCTTGTTTTCTGGAGGATTTTTATTGTACGAAGGAACACAATCCTCGACACACTTCTGATGTGGCAAAGCAGCTCGCCTGAACTACAACTAACTGATTGGTTGTCTACTGCTGAAGTACTATTCATAATGACCCTCTCGGGACTTTTTTCCTCCTTTAAAATAGCTTCCATTAGTTTCTAGTTTAAAATTCTCCATTTGTTTAGCATTCAGACTTCTCACTAAGGACCCAAGAAACCAGTCAAGTGGAAAAAGTTGGAGTGGGATAAAAGTAGCAAGTCTGTGGTGAGTAGAATCTTAAAACTGCAACCAATTTTTGTACCTGATTGTGGAATTCCCCTGAAGGTCTATGAAGATGTGCATGAAATCAGGAAAAACCAGCTGTCCTGTGGCTGAGCAAGTTACACACTGTGCCACCAAGCTGAGGGGAAGTGAACTTGATGTTTTTCTCCAACTCATGGGATTTAAGACATGCCAGGGCCTAGTTTTTCCAAGATGACTCTCTGCAAGAAGACTCGATGGGCTTTCCCCACGCCCCAAGAAATGACATTTCAAGTCGAAGAATGAAAGTGACATTTGACTTCTGAATGTGTGGCCAGTCGCCTATTTCACCTCTGGTTCTTCATACTGTGTTTCTAGAGGTTTTTGGTCCGAACTGTCAACTCTTTCGATAAAAACAAATGGTAATCATACCTTGTTACAACCAGCAAATATTAACCCACTAATTTCTATAAGGTTTCTGGAAATTCCTAAACTGATACCAAATATTATTAATAGTATTAGGTTCAAACTATAAATTCAGCTACTAGTGGCAAACTTTAGTGCATCTTGCAAAGTTAGAGGAAATGGAAAAATAAAATAGACTTGACTGAGATAGTGAGGTTAAAAGTCAGGTTTAGGAGATGAGTCTTCTTTCTAGCTCCTCCAGGCTTTTTCAGTCGATACCTTCAAGTTTAATGTCCCGTAGAAAATGGTGCCAGGGAGAAGAAGGCATAACTTGTTCTGTTACTCAACATGTCTGTTTCCAGTTACAGCGTCATGATTATGCAAATAAGCTTTTCTTGAAACTCTGAAATTATGTGCCTAAATATAATTGCCAAGATAGTTTTCACTGAATTTGAAAAGTTAACTGTCTAAAAAACACTTCAAGTCTTTGTAATTAGCGTTCCCTTTCTTAATTCTCTCAATTTCAAATTAATGACTGGCACAATATAGCACTCAAATACCTGAAGGAAGCTATTCCTTATAAACTGGACAGATACCATTGGTATGTGACCCTGTGAAGGTCACATAATAATTCCCAAGGGAAAAGAAGCAAAGAATAAGAAACCAACTTTAAGCTCTTGTAAAATTGTTTCCCAGAAACTAAAAGACAAAAGCTTTCTATTTTATAAACTATTTAAATGTTTCATGAGTATCGTATCACTTAATGAAATTAAAGACTTTTCCTGATCATTCCATTTTTAGAAGCCTATTAGTATATTCAAGTTGAAAACCAGAGAGTCTCAAAAACAGAACCTTGCTTTAAAAAGTAAACAACAGAAATACTCCAAAGCATTGCAGACTGCCTTTAAAAATGAAACTGCCAGGAACTCTGTATTTTCCACCGACTCAACGCCGCTCCTGAAACCAGTCCACTCATCACCTTTTCTTTGAACTAGTTTCACAGTGAAGTGAGAATCAGTTAACTGTCTTTGAAATCTCGATTCCAAAAAGAAAGTATCACTTATTTTATGTTCCTACTATGTTCTCTCATTTTGCTGATTTTTAAAGTGCCTTCTGAAAATTTTTCTAGCATTTCATTTTTTTCTTTTTAGATTTTATTTATTTATTTGACAGAGAGAGACACAGCGAGAGAGGGAACACAAGCAGGGGAAGTGGGAGAGGGAGAAGCAGACTCCATGCTGAGCAAGGAGCCCAATGCAGGGCTCCATCCCAGGACCCTGGGACCATGACCTGAGCTGAAGGCAGAGGCCCAATGACTGAGCCACCCAGGCGCCCCTTCTAGCATTTCATTTGATAACACATCAGTTACTTATATTCTGGGCTTTTAATTTTTTGAAAGATTAAAAATGGTAAGAATTAGAAAACCATGTATGGTATAGTGCAAGATGCACGGACCCAGGTCTGAAGCAGAGGAGGTTGTAGTCCTGGTTCTAAAGATACTTGGCAGAAATTGTATGATCTTGAGCAAGTCAACTGAGTTCCTTGGATTTGTTTTCAAATTTGCTAAACAGATAGATGGATCTGTTGATTATCTAAGGACTCTTCCAGCCTCGTATGCAAATGATTTTTTACAACAATGCACGACAGAGATGAAGTACTGGGCTTTGTGGTTGGGGCCTGAATGAGCGTTCCATCTGCGTCATTTATAAATGAGCAGAGGCCTTTGAATAAAGTAATCAACCCAGTCTCATCCTTTAAAAAAAGGAATGAAAATATATACCTTATAAGGTTTTTGTGACATTAAATGAGATAACGTATATATAAAGTACCGAGCAGAATAGTTGGCAAATTTAATCACTCAATAACTAAATTTAACTACTATCATCTCCCTTTGTGGATTCTTAAAATAATAGTTTCTCGTTCTCAGTTTATCTGCAAAATGGGGTAGTGAGATCAGATAAAAATTCTGTTCAAAGAAGTAAGATTACATATTTGTAATAGATGGCCAAAGATCAGAGGCTGGGGTAGGAAGAGATATGCTTCACCTAGTAAACTGCCTGTATCTTCCTGGCTCCACCTTCGTGCCCTACTTTCGCCCTTACAGAGGGTGACACAATTTGTACCAGTTATTTAGAAGGGAGGAATTCAGATTCATGATTTTACCAAAATTGCACACAGCTAAAAAATCTAGTTCCCCAACCCCCTCATCCCTCCTTCCCCCATTCTGTATTTTCCCAACTGATTTTTTCTTTTTTAACCTGAGTGCAGCCCATTAGGGCCTTTAAAATATATTAAATATTAAGATATGTTCATTTCAGTTCCTAGTTCCAATTAAAACTTCACGAATCATATTCTGTCATAAAATACACTAGTGGTTTTTACTTTCTCTTTTACTTAAATGAGTTCACACAAAAAGCATGCATTACTTACTTGTATGGCAAGCTGAAACAGAATCTAAAAACTAAACTTGGCTAGCCTATTGGCAATTTTCATTAAGCATGTTCTTCTGTAACTTCTTGACAAAATGGTGAGAAAAGGGAACCAACTACTGAATTCGCTATTGAAGATCTCCCTATAAATCCCACAGATTAGAAGCAAAGAAAGTTTCCACACGGAATTGAGAGAAAAACGTTGAGACTCAGACTCTCGAGGTCACACGAAATAGCATGAGGCAATATAACACAGTATTTAAAGGTTTCCTTTTGACTGTCAACCTGGAACAAATGACTTAATTTCTCAGAGCCTCAGTTTGCTTCCCTGTAAAGTGGGGATAATGATCATACCTACCTTCTACCTAACCAGATTGTTCCAAGATCAAATGCAATAAGGAACACAAAAGGCCTAGGTACCAGTTAAGGGCTCAATAAATCGTTTTACTGCAACCATTTAGTCTGAAATTTTAGTGTGAGGTGCCTCAACACAACCAAGGGACCCTTGACAAGCCAGGAACTCTGTATTTTCCACCGACTCAACGCCGCTCCTGAAACCAGTCCACTCATCAGCGGGGCACGGTGCTGTAGCCACAGTGTAAGACTTCCCACCCGCAGAGAACCCGGATCCCCCTGCGGTCGCGGTCTCGCAGGCCCAAGGTCGCTTGCAAAACTCCATGGGGCGGACGTGAGGCCCCGCGCGGGTGGAGGGGGAGGAGTGTCCTGCCCCGGGACTGTTGCCACGGCAACCGCCACAAATTTCTCAACTCCCGCCCCCCCGGGGGGGCTCCACCTCTTCCGGCTAAGCCGAAAGTCTGCACAGGGGAGACCAAACTGAACGGCCCCAAGGTGGCCACTTTCGGTCCCTCGGCCACTTCCCCGGCCGCACGCCCCAGGAAACGGCCCGCAGGTACCGGGCGGCCTGCCGCCGACCTCCTCTTCCAGGACCTTCCGGGAGCCGCAGCCCTTTGCCCCCGGAAGTGGGCGGGAGAGGAAGCAGCTGGTGATGCTGGAACAAACATGGCCGTCCCGGCGCCAGTCGCCCCCTCGGGCTCCCGCTGTGCTCCGCTGGCCGCGGGCCTCCGGCTGTTCCCACTGCTGGGGCTGCTGCAGCTGCTGGCCCAGCCCGGCCTGGGCCGTGTCCACCACCTGGCGCTCAAGGTAAGGCCGGCCAGGGCCGGGCAGGACCCGGCAGGGCTGGGCGGGGGGCGGAGGCCGAGGCCTCTCTCTTGGGCTGGGGGCAACTTTGGCCCACGGTGGGGGTCTCTGAGCGATTGCCCCCACCCCTCCTTTTCCCCGGCGCGGCCTCTCTCTTAGAGGGGTCTGTTGGGAACTGTGGAAATGACGGGGGTCTTCAGGCCGTCTGGAAGGGGCAGGAAGATTCGAACTGAGCCTCAGAGGGGAAGGGGCTGAACTGAGGCGTTAACTTCAGGGATTCTGGAGGCCGCGCTTTCGGTCCCTGCAGGCTTCCCTAGGTTCCTAGCAGATAGCGACCAGCTCTTCCCCCTCCCTTCGCACCTCTAACTTTTATCCCCGGCTTAGCTTGTCCGCAGTGTCCACTCTTCATCCTCTTGTGCCCCTTGAAGGTACGCGAAACCTTAGCCTCAGTTTCCCGGTTCGGCTTAGGGCGCTATCTGGACTGATGAAAGCGGGAATCTCCAGGAGGAATTTCACTTTTTTTTTTTTTTAAGGAATTTCAAATCTTGCTTGAAATACACGACTGAGAATTTAAAACCAGCATTAAAAATGTGTTTCTAGTTAGAGAGCCTGCCTGTCTAGGGAAGAGATTTATGATAGGCCTAGAATGATCCCTTGGATCTTACTTTATAACTCACAGCTAACAGTCGTCTAAGGCTAAAACGTGCCTCCAGGCGGTTCAGCAGGTTAATATATTTGGGGAGTAGAAAAATAAGTCGTTACGACCCAAAGCCTTGTACATGTTTTTCATAATGTACAATTTTCTCAGAAATTGTAGGGTTATAGGTAGTTTGTCTTATTAAAACACATTGCTTTAACAAACCATGAAGCATTGTATTTTGTGAAGGTAGAGTTTAAAGAATATAGAATGCAGATTAAAAAGCCTGGCCAGGGCGCCTGGGTGGCTCAGTTGGTTAAAAAGCCTGGCCAGACCCATGCACCAACTTTTGGTTCTCAGCTTTTGTTGTTTGTAAGTAAAATTTATCCTGATTAAAATGGTTCTGAAGTGCAGGGAGATAGGTGAGTCTTGACTCCTTTTGAGAATCTGTTGAAATCTATAGAACCTCTCCCCAGAGAAGTGCAGGTAGGAATGTAGACAAAACATTTTTGGGGAATTTCTGGGACTTTTTAATCTTGCTGAAGTTTATCCATAGGCCAGGCTTATGACTCCAACTCAAGAACTCTGGATCTTCAGAATGCTTTCATTTTACAGGTTAGGATCCTTAGATTAAGTAGTGTAACTGAATTCATATAGGTTATTAATTAGAGACAAAGCTAGTAATAGGACACACTGGACCATGTCTCTTGGCTACCAATCCAGTGCCCTGGATTTGTATATTTCTAGAATTAAAATGGCAGCTGGTCAGCATCACTGGGTGGTAAATACAGTGTTGGTAGAGATGAAAACATATACTGACCTCAGTGGTAGAAGCAAATTGAATTGGTGTAATTCTGGTAATTGATTTCTTCCTGTTGTGCTAAATTACTTAATGTTTTTCATCCCTGTACATGTTTCATAAGTATTGTAGTGGTCATTCCATAATAATACTGGTGGTTTCTTTTCTCTTTAAGTAAATATTCTGACTTCTTCCCCAAGGAAACAGAAGTCACCTGAAGGGAGCCTATCAGAGCAACAACATTAGATTGTCTTGTTTTGCTTGGGACTGGGAGAAATAGGAGACTTGATCAGGTTATAGACCTAGACTGGCAGAAATAACATGAAGAAGTTACTGGGTACCATAAATATGCATTGATCTGTTTAAAAAATTTTTATCATGGAGAATTTCAAACAGATATCAATAGTAGACAGATGGAGCTCCTGTGTACCTGTCATCGAGCCTGAATAACCATTATTAACCAGTGGCTAATTCTGCCCCATTCCCACATATATTACTTCTCTCTTCACATTCTTTATTTTTTTTAATGAGAAATGAGTCTTTTCATTTTTTTATTCACATTTCTTGTCCCATACTACACTTTTCTTTCTTTCTTTTAAGTAATCTCTACGTGTGACGTGGACTTTGAACTCATGACCCGAAGATCGAGAGTCACATGTTCCACCGACTGAGCCAGTCCCCCATACTACACTTTTCATCATTCATCTGGTTTTCCCAATCTTCTCAAATTCCTTCTTTTCTTTTCTTTTCTTTTTTTTTTAAGGAGGCCCCATGCCCAGCATAAAGCCCAGCACAGGGCTTGAACTCAACCCTTGAGATCAAGAGTCAGACACTTAACTGACTGAGCCACCGAGGTGCCCCAGATTCCTTCTCTTTCTCTAGGCGCCATACTTTTATAAAATTACCTTCTTGAGGTACAGTTTACATTTCTTTTTTTTTTTTTTTTATGTTTTATTTATTCATGAGAGTCAGAGAGAGAGAGAGAGGCAGAGGGAGAAGCAGGCTCCCCGCCTAGCAGCGAGCCCAATGCGGCACTCAATCCCAGGACCCTGGGATCATGACCTGAGCCGGAGGTGGACGCTTAACCATCTGAGCCACCCAGGCGCCCCTACAGTTTACATTTCATAAAATTCGCCCATTTTAAATGTACAGTTCAGTGATTGTTAGTAAATTTGTTGAGTTGTGCAACTATCACCACAGTCCAGCCATAGAACGTTTTCATCACCACCAAAAGATCCCTTGTGCTGGTTGAAGTTCATTCCCATTCTCACCCCTAGCCCCAGGCAACCTCTAATCTCCTTTCTGACTCTATAGATTTGCCCTTTCTGGACGTTTCATATAAATGGAATCACACGATATGTGATCCTTTGTGTCTGTAGCTTTTACTTAAATTTTTGAGGTTCATCCATGTGTACTATGTATTAGTAATTCATTTCTTTTTTTTTTTTTAAAGATTTTATTTATTTATTTGACAGAGAGAGACAGCGAGAGAGGGAACACAAGCAGAGGGAGTGGGAGAGGGAGAAGCAGGCTTCCCGCCAAGCAGGGAGCCCGATGCGGGGCTCGATCCCAGGACCCCGGGATCATGACCTGAGCCGAAGGCAGACGCTTAACGACTGAGCCACCCAGGCGCCCTTCATTCCTTTTTTTATGGCTGAATACTATTCCATTGTATGGATAGACCACGTTTTTTTCTTCTTGATTCGCCAATTAATAACATTTCGGGTTTTTTTCCGTGCTTTTGGCCATTGTGAATAATGCTGCTACAAACATTCACATGCGTGTCTTTGTGTGGACACGTGTTTTCTAGTTTAATATGTTCATCTATCCTTTGAGTTAATTGGATCTAGAGGCTTGATCATGTTCAGGATTGATTCTTTTGGCAAGACCACTTCAATTAGTGCTGTGTTCTTCCACTGGGAGATATAGTGTCTGATTGTCTTTCTTTTTGTCATGTTTGCCCTTTTGACGTCCAGTGCTTACATTTCTGTGTTCATTAGTGTCTTTAGTCTTTCCAGGTTGCTATAACAGAATACCATAGATTGGGTAGCTTATAAACAACATAAATTTATTTCTCACACTTCTAGAGGCTGAGAATTCCAAGATCAAGGTGCTTGCTTTGTTGAGGGCCCTCTTCCTGGTTCATAGCTGGTGTCTTCTTGCTGTACCTTTATGGTGGAAGGGGTGAGGGATCTCTGTGGGGTCTCTCTTACAAGAACACTAATCCCATTCATGAACGCTCAGCCTCATGACATAAGTACCTCCCAAAGACCCCATACCATCATCTTTGGGGACTAGGATTTCAACATATGGATTTTGGGGCAACACAAACATTCAGAACACAGCAGTTAGGTATTTGGTCTTTAATTGTGCTGTTTGGTGTCAAAATATAGGACTGTCTTGATTAAATTATGTGTCGTCATATAGTGGGTCTTGTTATATCTCTCAAATATGGCACATGAAACAAAGGAAAAGTGTATAAAATGTAAACAAGTATTATTCCTTAGGCATTCATATGCTCAGGAAACATAGATTGCTTATATTAGTCATGATCCCTACCCACATGCCATCCGGGCACGGAGGCTTCGGACCAGCAAGGAAACAGATAATGGTCCTCCATATTCTGAGTGTAGTATAGACTTCCCTCTTTTTTTTTTTTTTTTTTAAGATTTTATTTATTTATTTGTCAGAGAGAGAGAGCGCACACAAGCAGGGGGAGCAGCAGAGGGAGAGGGAGAAGCAGGCTCCCCGCTGAGGAGGGAGCCCAATGTGGGACTCGATCCCAGGACAGTGGGATCATGACCTGAGCCGAAGGCAGATGCTTAACTGACTGAGCGTCCCTAGACTTCCCTCTGTTGATGGGAATTTTTCTCAAGTATTTTAATACTTCTCCACTTTGTAAACTTAAAATATGGAATATAATTTAGCTTTTTCTGGATGATGGGTGGTTTCCATTCATTTATTTATTAAGCATTTATTTTCTGACTCCTAACTTTGAATAAATGGTGTATTTAAATGATCATTGATGTTATTCTTTTTTTTTTTTTTTAAGATTTTATTTATTTTTGACAGAGAGAGCACAAGCAGGGGGAACAGCAGAGAAAGAGGGAGAAGCAGACTCCCTGCTGAGCAAGGACCCCGATGCGGGGCTCAATCCCAGGACCCTGAGATCATGACCTGAGCTGAAGGCAGAGGCCCAATGACTGAGCCACCCAGGCGCCCCTTCTAGCATTTCATTTGATAACACATCAGTTACTTATATTCTG